TGTACTATGTTTGGGGAATATTTTATGTTTTGCTTGGCCTCAACAGGTACTTCATAAAAAACACTTTGGATAATGAAAAATACAAATTCCTAGTAAGTACTTTTCCTTATAGTACTATCATACCTATAATTAATGATTCTAATTATCTACAAAACCATTAAAACTTCTCTGCTCTATATTCAAACTCCAGGAGGGCAGGAATTCTGTCTGCTTGTTCTTGGCACCTAATGAAGTACCTAAAAAATTGAAACAATCATCTCCCAAAGAATACAGTTCAAATCCTGATTTCTAGCAACCCTGCATAAAGCTGAGGAAAGCGCACCACGTCCCTGCACAGTTTTGAATTCCAGCATCACTTGCCTCAAAGACTTTGATCTCTGCTTCAGAGAATACTCTGAGAAAGTTTATTCCAAAAAGCAAATGGAATCTGCATTGGAAATTCCTCATAGGTGGCCGAATGTGGCAGGCCAGGAACTACTGCATAAATACACAGCGCTAAGTCAGTCACTATGTAGGAATGATTTGTTGCCTCTAAACTTTAAAACAATGGGAAAAATCTCATTCAATCTTACGGGCTTCTTATCTTTTGCCATATTATATGCCCTATTTAAATGAAACAAGAGGTAGCTTGGACTTACCTTGCAATTCCTGGATCTTCTCTGTGGACAAAACACTCAGAAGTGAAGGGCTAAACAGATGGTATAATCCAGCTAAGCCTCTTGTTACAGAAGTCACATGCACAAGGAAACATGAATGGCTTTAGAGTGATTAATTTGGCTGGCGTGTGGCAGTACATTCTTTGACATTATAAACTCATCCAGTTGGTGAAAAAAAAAAAAAAAAAAATACTATTTAACATATAACTAATCTCTCTTATAGACTTATATTCTTCCATTTTTAATTTCTTTAAAAAGTAAATACAAAAAAAAAAAAGTAAATACTATTAGGGGTCTGTGAGATAGCTCAGCCATCTAAAGTGCCTGCTTAAGCAAGCTTAGGCAGCGCAGGGACATGGGGGGTTTGATTCCCAGCACCACATGTTGCACCAGCCCTGCCCCAAGGTGGGCTGAGCCAGCCACACACACACACACACACACACACACACACACACACACACACACACAGAGCAAACCAACAAAAAGAAATGATTTTTAGGGCCAGCCAGATAGCTCAGTGGACTAAAGTGGCTGCTTAGGTAGAATGAAGCAGCAGGGATTTGATGGTGGGTGTGCTGTGCCAACCCCACCTTTGGGGCCCACTAAGATAGGGATTGAGGCTTGAAAGGCTGAAAACAGAAGGATCACTATGATTCTGATCTGTGTAGTGAGACCCTGTACCAAATAGACAGACAGATAGACAGATACTTTTCTTAGAGCTTTTCACAATTCCGTATCTCCTCTCTAATGAGTATTCTTGCATAGAGGAGGTGAGGAGTCACCAAATATTTGGTTACATTCTGTACAGTGAGCCTTTGAATTTTACTTTTCTCCTCTCATGTTCAATATCTGGAGAAATTCAGGTAACAGGTTTTTTTCATTTTGTTTTGCTTTTTGGTCTTGAGACAGGGTTTTGCTATGTAGTTCAGCCTAGCCTTGAATTCACTCTGTAGTCTAGGCCGGCCTCAAACTCATGGCAATCCTGCCTTGACCTCCCGAGTGGATTTAAGGTGTGTGCCACCAGACCTGGCTTGTTTTGTCTGAGACAGGATCTCACTATGTAGTTCAATCTGCCCTTGCACTCATTATGTAGCCTACGCTGGCCTCAAACTCACAGCCAACTTCCTACCTCAATCCAGAGTGCTGAGATTATAGGTGTGCACCACTATGCCCCGCAGGTAACAATTTTACTAAAAGGACATGATTTAGAAATGGGCTGAAGGTTCAACAGAATTGTAGCTCCAAATTCTGTTAAGTGGAAAGAATAAGAAATGACTAGCAACAGCAAGCATTAAGAACAAACACCCCAACACGCAGGTTGTAGTCCTAGGGAGCGCTTCCTCTGAGGAGGAATCAGGGCTCACTGGGGAGTGTGTGTGTATGAGATTCCAAGTCAGCAAATGTACAAGATAAATGTAGAAGTGAATTCTCGACTGTTACTGACCACATGTGAGGGCAGGTAGGCTACCTACTCATTTCTGAAAACTAGTAAATAAAAGGAATTAAGTATTTATCTCTTGGGGCTGGTGAGATGGTTCAGTGGTCTAAAGCACCTACTTAGAACAAGCTTAGCAAAGCACAGGGACCGCGGTTCAATCCCCCAGCACCACATGCCAGCCAGCGGCGCCCCCTGGTGGGCTGAGCTGGCCACACACACACACATACACAAAAACAAATAAATTTTTTTTAAAAAGTATCTATCTCTTGTCTGCCTATTCAAATTATAACCAAGTAATTGGTAAGGGGAATTTTTTTTTTGAAGTATTCCAGCTAAAAACCAAAGAAAGAATAAGTTACTACTATTTTTTAACCCTTAGTGAATTAATGAATCTAGGTTTTGAGTATCAGTAACTTTGCGTATCAGAGATAGGCAGTGGGCCAGAGGTATGGATCAGGTGGTAGAACGCTTGCCTGGGGTGTGGAAGGCCCTGGATTGAAACCCCCGCAATGCACTCATACACCCCAGCTATTAGCATCCTCCAAAATACAAATACACACATATGTACAGCATCGTTGCCATAAACCTCCGGTCTGAACGTGAGCGAGCCTTTACTCAGTGCTACCCAAAAGACATATGAGGGCCAGAGGTGACACCTATCTTAATTCAAGCTTACATTCCATCAGCTGTGACTTATGGGACTCCCATGGGGCTATGTAACCACTGAATTACCGGAAGGGTGAGAACCCAGGGGGCCTGGCCTGACAGCATGCAACTGGAAAGGAAACTATAAAGATTCGGGGAGAAAATGACGCTATTTCTTCAAGACGAAAAAAATGGAGGGCATAATAGGGAGCAGGAAAGAGAGAAACTATCAGGGAAGAGATACCACAACGACGAATGCATGAATTCTGCTTCAACAGAATGCGAAATGCATCAAAAGGAAATTGGAATAGATGGAGTCGTTTTGCTAATCATTTCTTCACATGTGACACTGGTTTTTTTCGGTTACCTTTCTCTCGTTGCTGGGACCAAATACCCAACACCCAAAATGAAGGAAAGAAAGGTTTCTTTAGTTCAGTTTGTGGAGGTTTCAGTCCATACTCAGCTGGCTCCAAGGCAGAGTGGCATGTGGCAGAGAGCAACAGTTCATGACGGCAGAAGGCAGCAAACCGGCAAGAGCAAAAGGGCAGGAGCAGCAGCGGCAACAGCGGCCCAGGCAAGCCTCGCCCTCTCTTCTACTGCCTTCGGGCTATCTGCCCAGGGCGGGTGTAGCACTCACACCCACAACCCCAGCCTCGGATCATGAATGAATCACCACCTCTAGAACCCTGCCCTGGTGACTGCATGAGGCTTTCGAGGGACAACTTTACACACAAACCATAACAGTATTATAGTTACATTACAAAAACAATTTAAGACCAATTACTGCAATAGTCATGGGTAAACTGCTATCTGGCATTTCTTTCAAAATAATCCAGGGTAAGCAGTAAGGATATAGGTGAAATGGGAGTGGCGATGAATTGATAATCATTTGAAGCTGGATGGTGGGCATATGGGAAGTAACTGTTTAACACAGTGGCTCACTGTGTAGTGTAGGGCAGCCTTGAGCTTGCTATGTAGCCTAGGCGGGCCTCAATTCTGCAACCCTCCTGCCTCAGCCTCCTAGAATGCTGGATTACAGGCATGTGCTATCAACACCTGGCTACGTACCATTCTTATTTTTAGATATAGTTGAGATTTTCCATAGTTAAGTTTTAAAAAGTAAAGATTATGGAACAGGATATTTATTATACCATTCTTGAAAGTAAAATTCAAGATTCTATTCTAAATCTGCAAAAGAACAGAGCTGCTGCCACCCCCACACACAGATAATAGAGCAGGAAAAACTTAAAAATAAATAAATAAAAATAAATAAATAATGTTCACTTTAGGGGCCGGGGAGATGGCTCAGTGGAATAAGTGCTTCCCTGGCAAGCGCAAGGACCTGAGTTCAATCCCCAGTTCTGTCAGAAAGAAAGGGACGAAAGGAAAGGAAAGGAAAGGAAAGGAAAGGAAAGGAAAGGAAAGGAAAGGAAAGGAAAGGAGGAAGGAAGGAAGGAAGGAAGGAAGGAAGGAAGGAAGGAAGGAAGGAAGGAAGGAAGGAAGGAAGGAAGGAAGGAAGGAAGGAAGGAAGGAAGGAAGGAAGGTAGTTCACTTTAGAACACAGGTGAAAGTAGATCAAGAGGAAGAGGGGACTGGCTGCTCTCTACTCGGGCAGATGCCACCTTCTCCTCCGCTCTGCTGCCTGAATTTCCCGAGCCTCTCCTCCATCACCGCAGACTTCTCGGGCAGGGCTGTCGGGACACTACATGTACGCATACAGTCCATCTCTGATTTTGCTCTTCACGCATCTCACCAGACAGCAAACGGTGGGGACGTTAAACAAGAAAGGCACACAGGACTGGGACTGGGAGGCTGATCGTACCCAACTTTACGGTCTTTGAGCTCAGACAAGCTTTGGAAAAATGTGACCCTCATCCCCGAGCTGTTAACTCTATAATGTAAAGCATAGAGACCGCACAATGTGACTCAAACAAAAAAGGGACAGAGGTGTTAGTGTCCTGCACCGTAGAGCTTCCTGTGACGAGTTCCCAAACTGGACAGTGTCCTTTTTTGCTTACCCACAGCTGGATTCTGCAGACAGAGTTTGATGTTTAAATCACTCTCTGGTAGTAAAGACCTGTGTAATAAATTTGAATTTGGAATAAAGAATGTTTCAGCGGTAAGACAGTGCAATGTAGCAAAAGATTTGAGAGGCAACAGATTGGGGTAAACATACAAACTAAAAAATAAAAACATGTATTTAGGTTTTTAAAAAATTAAATAACGAAATAATTGGTAAAAGCTAAAACAAAACCCTGACATATGACTGATTAAGCACAATAGCATTTATTAGTGAATATTAAAAATAAATTTTATCATTTTTGCTTTTCCCTCACTTTGACTACAGATGTTTCTGTAAGCCTACCAGCTCCTACCATGACTGAATAAAATCAAGAAAGGTCCCACTCCCATAGGAAAATCAACTTCTGGCCTTGGAGATTCTGAACAACTAAATGCCTAGGAACTTCAAAACCAGGCGCCTGCGTTAGGATGCGGAATACGAGGGAAATACAACTGCGGTCCACTGGAACGTCACGCAGCGCGGGCACTCAAGATTTTCTAAATTCTCGCCAGGACTAGGCTGGCATCTTCTTAGCCTGGACCGCAGCCACTGCCATCATCTTAACCAGCAGCCTCGCAAACCACATCATAACTGGAATTAACAAAAGTGAAAGTCGAATTCTCGGCCTTTATTCCTGGGAGTCAGAGGGCTCTCTGGGTAGGAAGCTTAAGGTTTTGAGCAGGCTTGCCCTTACATTCAGTACTGGGGAAAGGCCGCAAAGCCTACCCAGCGCACATGCGCACTGAGCATCTGAATGTATCGATTCTTCCTTCAACACACAAGGAAGCTAAGGTCCATCAGTGAGTCACTTGGGACCAAGCCCCTCAAAACAGAGGCAAATTTGGTGAACCAAGACAATAACCTCAGTTTACCTCGGTCCTTTCCTCAAGAACCACATTAACCCCCTGCTTCAAGAGGCACCTCTGGCCAGGACAGAGCACAGAAGAAAGCATAACTTGAGGCTACGCCATGCCACGTGGAGTTCACAAGCTGTGGTGGTGTCCACGGCACAGAAGGCAGCATCACCAGTTCTCAGAGAGGGAGAGCGCGCCGGCGGACCGCACTCCCGGAGCTTCCGTCCTACTGCAGTTTCATGGCGGACGCCCAGACATCGTTGCTGGGGAGCGGCGGGAGGACCCATCCTTGGGGAACAGAGCTGCCTTTGGGATGGTCAGCTGGCACCAGGTACTGATCCCAATCGTGCCTTCAGAAGAACATTACAGAACAACAGTTCATTTCTACTTTTTTCCAATCAAGATGTTCAAAAATGTTCTACTCCTAAGTATTATGTTAACCTACCATAGAACTTGATTGCTAGGAATTACGTGCAAGCTCACATTTTTTTTTAACAATTCATAATATCTTTTACTGGACATGACACAGTCCATCTGATGTGTCACAATCAAAAATTAACAGCAACTTTTTTTTTTTTTAAATGCATTTGGTACAGGGTCTCACTATGCAGCTTGGACTCATAGTGATCCTCCTGTCTCAGCCTCCCCAGAGCTGGGATTACAGCATTGTGCCACCATGCCTGGTTTCAGTGGTCAGGTTGGCCTAGGCCTGGCATGGTATGCAGTACCAGGGATCAAACCCAGCTCCTTGCGTTTGCCAGGCAGGCGCTTAGACTCTGAGCTATTTCCCTAGCCCTTACAATTAGGGGAAAAAAAATCTCTGATGAACTTACAAACTCTTAAGGATAACCAACTAATTGATATAGTTGATCCTCATTATTTTCAGGTTCTGTATTTGCAAATTTGCCTACTCACTAAAATCTAACTGTGGCCTCTATGTCATCACTTGTGAAGATTTCAAGGATACTTGAAAATACAAAGAATGGCAAAAAACTGGAGTCACAAAATCCTGAGCTGAGGCCAAACAAGGCAACATTCACTAGTGTGCCTTGTCTCAGCTCTTGCATTGGAAATAAGGGTCCTTTTCACCAATGACTTCACTGTTTAAAATGGCCTCCAAGGATCATGGTGTCAAGCATCCCAGAGCGGAGATGTGCCTTGTGGAGAAAACATGTGCGTCAGATAAGCTTCACGCAGGCACAGGGCACAGCGCTATCAGCCGGGAGGGAGAGCAATCGTATATACTGAGTGCCTTGAAACGGAGATACACGTGGAACAAGGTACTGGTCAGCTGGTGAAAACGTGACCAGAGGCTCTCCGAAACACACCTAATCCCGTGTTCCCATCAGAGGCAACAGTTCAGTATCCCGCATTACAGCCTTCACAATGATTTGACAGAACACAACAATGAGAACTGACACTACTGCTATTTCAAAGCTAAAACTTGAATATGGCCAAAAACAAACTCTCTCCAGGAAATACAGCTGCTATGTGAAAGAGCATTCTTTCATGAGCACTACAAATGGTTAGCCCTCTGGAAAGGAACCTCAGAGACCATACTTTGAAGACTCTCCTACACTCCCGAAGACATTCCGGGGAGCTGAGAAGACAACAAAGTGCTCTCAGCAACAACAAAGTCAACCTACCTTGGGAACCCCATTCACTATGCGTGTTTCGCCTACCTCTTTCTCAAGAGACTGACTACAAGGCGGAAGAGCACGCTGCCAAGGCATGGAGGCTACATCCGGTTTGCCACCTCTATTTCACAGCAGAAGAGCTGCAAACTTCACCCCAGCAGCACCTGATGACTCAGGTGAGACTCTTGCTCCCAGCTCTCTAGGCTGTGACCTGCAGGCGCTCGGAAGTCAGCCTGGGTCTTAACAGTCTCCACTGTGCACACTTGAGAGGGCTTCTCTTCTTTGGTGTGTTTGGTGTCAGAAGAGAACTAGAAAAATAAAGCTAGTGCTTGCAAATCAACACGAGGGCTACACCACAGGGCAAGGCACAACCCGAGCTTCAGCTGCTCCGCCTAATGGAGACAGCTTCTGTGAAGCATGAGGAATAAACGAGAACACGTGGCATCCTCAAGACCTGCCAACATCCTGAACCCGTGGGGAACGTTAAAAAGACACAGCAGCCGACCTCAACAAGGAGGTACCTCTTCGAGAGAATCTTGCTATGTAAGGGAAAGGCGACAGGCACAGCGCGCCCCTCTGACCTTATCTGGATGAGCGCCGGCAGGGAGTGCTCCGCTTGGAGGTAATACTGGCGGAAAGGCTGCAGGAGGTGAGCAAGGGGGAACTCCTCTGAAAGAGAAAAGGCACAGTGTCACAGCACCACGCTGGCTGTGGGCTCGACAGTTCTCAAAGCAAGTTGGCTGGGCCCATGATTATGACAATATGACCAATACGGTTCTGTCTGGTCCTTCTGATTTTTGTCCTTTCCTCGTACTGGGATGGAGCCCAGAGCCTTTCCACACTAGGCAAGTACGTCCACCGCTGAGCTACATCCCCAGCCCTAAGCCTATTTCACATGTATCCACATCTTCCATCCCACAGTCTAGAACAATGATGGTGAATCTTTTTGAGTTTTCAATAACAAACTGCTGGCTACAGCCACACGTTCCCTACTACTGGTTTAGAATCGCCAATCAGAACACGTCCTTAGCTGCTTTCGCCTCTTGAGATCTCCCACCATAGAGCGGTCAATTTTGTATTTTCCTTTTTCTACTAAGTACACAGGAACTCACCTGGATCCCCAAATAACTTGGACTCAACTTCACGTTTCTGAAGTAAAAATTTCTCTTTTTCTTTTCTCTGTTTCTTTTCCAATTCCCTTTTCCTCTCCTCCTCTTGTTCTCCCTCCAGCATCACTCGGAGGGCCCTCTCTTCTGCTTCATACAGTTCAGAGCGCTTTTTAATGAGCTTTCTCAGTCGCTGAAGATGGTGCTCAAAAGTCTCATCTGCAGAGGCTGGAGGACAGACCCCTGGGCAAAAAGAGCCAGCGGCGTTTTAGATACAGATGTTTTCTTACCCCAGAATGCATGTTTAACAAGCAGTCTCGATGTCCTACCTACAGCAGGAGTTCACTTAGAATCCGTAAACTCTACCCCCCCTTCAAGGTTCAATTTGATCTCCCTCAATCTCCAATTACATGGAACCCACCCTGAAGGCGTTCTCTCCTCTCTCCCTGGATCACACCATTGAGCCCTCAGGTCTGATCGTCCACCCGAACATAGCGTCTACTAAAGTGACCCCTCCCTTAACTCTTCCATGTTCATGAAGTCCCTCAGCACTGAACAGGTCTAGCAGTCCCTCTGACAGGGTGCATTCTGGGAGTGCAGCTCTCCTCAGGGACAAGACTCTCAGAGCCAAATACACTGACCTCACAGCTGCTGGGGACAATAGGATGCCCAGCTGTTGTGGTTTGTCTGCTTTTAGCACTAAAAACCCTGTGCTCCCTCAGGCCCAGGAAAACCAGGATGTGCCTCACCCTGATTTAACTTTGTCATCAGGTAACAGTACAGCTGACATGGTTAAAGCTATAGCTGGAAAATGTGTTTACAGATTAAGTATATCAAGGAATTACTGCCCTTTTTTGGTGTAATAAGGACATTATTCACAGCTGATTATAGGTCTACATTATTTTATTTTTGTGTATGAAATTTTTAATAATTTCATAAATATATATAATACATATTTTTTTTAATTTTTTTTTTTTTTTTTT